ACACGGAGTGACAGCACGCAGTGCTCCGCATAGAAAAGTTCAAAGCATAAAATGAAGAGATATTGATGCGTAGTGTATTATATCTGTGTGATAGAGCCTTTTCTTTTAACAGTTTTACATTTCAGTTACTGTGCGCATGAAGAACAATTCATAGTGCTCTCTACTCCAGTGTAGTGATCTCTAACAGACACCCGGTAGAGTAACATGCTTTATAAACAGCACTAAACTCCAGCAAAATAAAGTCATTTTATGCAAAACCACTGATCTTTATCTACAGATCAACTATAATAATGGGAACAGTGAATCAACTTGGAGAGAGTATCATCGTCTTGACTGTCTCACCGAATGCGACCCGCAGTTTGAATGCTGAATGGAGGCCGACAGACAGCCGCAGCAGAGAGAAGAGTTTACGTGAACTTGAATTTAACGACTTAAATATTCATCTGTACCTCACATTAAACTATGGAACGGCTTCAGAACACTTGGAATATAGTGCACAAACACTTCATGGTGCTTTATAATGTTTTTGTGCCTTTCGTGGGGCTTAACAATAACACAGAATAATATACGCAGAATATCGGATTTGGATCGGTCTCGTCTGACCAATACCTCGATCCAGCAGGAGTACTGGATGTCAGTCAGCAAATACAATGCAGGGCAGTGATACTGAAAAGAAAGCAGCATGGCCCAGCACTACTTGAAATCAGGATTAAGCATAAAATAATTTCATACATGTGAATATCAGCTGAGAATTGAACAAATAGTTTTAATCTGGCTCAAAGGAAATTAGGAATTATTTATTTGTGGCAGTTTTTCTGCTGATTAAGGGATAATACAATGCTATTTTACCTAACAAATGGTTGTTAAAAGCAAAAAATGGTATGAAATGCATCATTTTAGGGATGCACCGATACTTTTTTTTCAGAACTGATCTGATCCCAAAAATTCTGAGTATCGGCCAATTAGATACCAGCAGTTTTTTTTTTTTTTTTTAAATCAATGTCATCACTGTTTTGTGTGTTAAACACAATCTACTAAATATAGACAACTTCATGATACAGAAAAATAACAAATGAAAATATATATAATCATAATCTATGACAAAAATACTATTATAAACAAGGTTAGTGGATAATTCAGCGTGAACTTGAATTTAACGACTTAAATATTCATCTGTACCTCCCATTAAACTATGGAACGGCTTCAGAACACTTGGAATATAGTGCACAAACACTTCATGGTGCTTTATAATGTTTTTGTGCCTTTCGTGGGGCTTAACAATAACACAGAATAATATACGCAGAATATCGGATTTGGATCGGTCTCGTCTGACCAATACCTCGATCCAGCAGGAGTACTGGATGTCAGTCAGCAAATACAATGCAGGGCAGTGATACTGAAAAGAAAGCAGCATGAATGTCACTTACAGGTGAGTCTCTCTTTAAGTTCAGGTGTGGGCGCCACATCCACCGCGCTCTTGCCGTGGCAGTTGAGCAGTGTGGGATCAGCGCCGTGACTCAGCAGCAGTGAACACACCTCCACTCGATTCTTACTGGCCGCCTCGTGCAGCGGTGTGAACTGCCACAGGTCCATGGCGTTAACGCACGCCCCGTGCTGTGAGCGAGACATACAGAAACTCATCAATCATGTGTTTTATTGTGTAATGAAAAACTAATAATCAAACCAATAAATCACCTGTTTATATCTGTGCTGGGGGAGCAAATATATTTTGATCAGTAAGTATTGGCTGGATTGTTTTCTTTACCTTCAACAGAAGCTCTGTGACCTCGTAGTGACCATAAGAGCAGGCATTATGCAGAGGAACTAGACCACTGATAGA